AATAAACAACTGAGTAATAAAGAAAAAAAAAAAAACCTCTTTTTAAACCTTTTGAAAATATAAATATGCTTATTTTCTTGTCTTAGTATCAATTCCTGGATTGGTCTAAACAGTATCAACCCTGTGAAAAATACATACCTCAACTCATTCACCTATACATATATAATAATAATCTAGCTGTACAAAATGTATATTTTTAAAATTTTATTTGGTTTCATTTTGTCTTTTTGAGACAAGGTCTCACTACAGTTTGGGCTGAGCTCAAACTCACTTTGTAGCCTAGGCTGGTCTTGAGTTTGCAGTGATCCTCAGTCTCCCAAGTGCTGGGATTACAGGTGTGTACCACTATGCCCAGCCCAGAATTTATACTTTACAAAAATACTAGTTTATTGTTTAGATTTGTTCCTAAAAGTAGGTACAAAAAGAAAAAAAGAAAGAAAGATTAAAAAAAAAAAAAGATAAAGAAAAAAGCCAATCTGTTCAGCACAAGCTATTTGGTTGACTGAATACTTTTGTTATTTTCTTCCATTGGTTCCTTCTCTGTAAAGAAATATGTTCAAGCAGAAAACAAAACAAAACCAAACCAAAAAAACACTTACAAAGCAAAATGTTTTAGGAGTCTTAACCTGTACAGCTATTCCTCCATGTAAGTATGGTTCCAACTCTGTAGTATCACCAATGCTAAAAGAAAATGGTGATCCCACTAGAAGAAAAGAAAGAAGAAAATTATTACACAGGGATACAGATATTTAAATGTGAAGACTTTCTGTCATAAAGATATTAAGGGCCAGCCAAAAGGCTCAGTAGATTAAAGCATCTGTTTAGGCAGACACAGGCGCTGAGGGTTTGGGCCTGCCGTGCCAGTCCCGCCCCAGGGGTGCACTGAGCCTGCCATTGAGACTGGGGGTTGTATGCACTCCTGTAATCCTACCACTTGGGAGGCTGTAAACAGAAGAATCAATATGAGTTGGATCTATGCAGTGAGACTCTATAGACCCTGTCCTAAAGTAAACAAAAAAAGACATTAATTTTCCCTAAGTTACCAAGGTTATAGTTTTTTTTTTTTTTTTTTTTTTTTTTTGTAAATGTGGCAGTGGTGTGTGGCGAGCTATCCAGAGTATTTTCTTCCAAAATTAAGTTTAGGACATTTTAAATAATCAAAAGAGAAATACAAATTATTATTAGAGATAATGTAATATTAAAAGTTACTGTTTGGAACAAACGCTACCTGGGAAACCCAAAGTGGATCAGTTTTATTTTATTTAGCTATTTTTTAAATTTATGTATTTGGTACAAGTTCTCACTATGCAGATCAGACTCATGGTGATCCTGTTTTCATCCTCCCCAGCACTGGGATTACAGGCATGTGCCACTATGTCTGGACTCCATCACCGCCTCAGTGCACCCCCAGGGGTGGGGCCGGTGAGGCTTGTAGGACAAGAGTTAAATGGATGAGTTTTAAATGCCAAAAATAATGCAAAAAAATTTTAAGATAAAGCCATGGGAGAAGAATTCTTTTTCTCTTCTTTCAGAACCGGGGATTGAACTCAGACCCTTGTGCTTGCCAGGGAAGCGCTTATTCTACTGAGCCATCTCCCTGGCCCCAAGAATTCTTTTAAAACTTGGAGTAAGGAAGGCTCCTGTAATACTCAAAAGCCATTAATAATTAAAACGTTATGGTTATGCTGAAATAACACAATCACATGAAAATGAACTATCACAAGCAAATCAAGAATGCCAAAGTAGGAAAAATATTTGCAACTCAAGAACAAAATAGAACAAATTAAAAAAAATAAAAATAATGTGACAAGTAATGCTCTACTAAGAGTTGTTAGGAGTGGTTAAGAAAGCAGTCATGAGAAAATTCCAAAGAACACACAGTTCACATTAAAGGGAGGGAAAAAAGCCTCTAAAACTTAAAATACTCAGTATCAGTCATAATACAAAAAAAGGCAAATTAAAATTTGATAAGTTTCATCCATGAATAAAAAAAGAAACAAAAAAACAATGCTCTGCAATTACTGATGTAAAAGTATCACCAAGCCACTGTACATTTATTTAATAAAAAGCCAAAGGGTAGTACTATGTATAATAGACTATTACTTCTGTGTAAAAGATTAAGGGAACCTTTAAGAGACATAATAAACTAAGAATAGTTATGTGTCGTCAGTGAGGGAGAAACCAGGAGATAAGAGCCAAGGATGGGCAAAACTGTTTAACCATTTAACTCTTTTGAACCATTTAAAAACTTAATGAAAAAAATCCAGTAAGCCCCCATCTCCACTTAACATGAAACTTCCTCTGCAGAGGGGTGGAGGTGTGAAGTTGGTCTCATTTTTAACCCTATTTAAATATTTCCATATATTTATATACACTTAATATGTTTATATGCATGCATAATATAAAATGTATATGTAATATATGTAAATGTATTTAAAAAATTTTTTTTACAACAGAAATTTCCTAAGACCACTAAATATGGTACCAACTAATAACTGTTATGGAAAAAAACTTCAAATCCAATAGGTCTATTTAAACACCAGCCCAAAATAATTATTTTTGATACAAAAATGGAAATTTTATAGACATTCTTTGATTTTCTTTCCTTTTTTTCAGTACTAAGGACTGAACTCGGGACCTTGTACTTGCTAGGCAGATGCTTATGCTGGTGAACTATCTGCTTGGCTCCATCCTTTGATTTTTCAATGGCTCTTTCTTACACAGGCTGTCAGAACACTCAGTACTGTCATCAAAACTGATCACTGCATGTTCCCCAAGTAAAAATGATAATCCCAAATAGTATCTTTTTTTTTTTTCAGTACTGGGGATTAAACTCAAGATGCTGCACTTACCAGGCAGGTGTTTATATTCTAAATAACAATGTAGTCAATTTTAACAAAAATAGACTTTTAAAATCTGAATTTATACTTAAGACATTTAGATGTGATCAAGAAGCAAAATCAATTTTATTACCAAAGATGCTTAAATATCGATCTAAAGTTGTTTTATAGAGTTTTAAACAACAACTTGTTTTTATGTCTCTTAAGGACATATTTCATAATCATTAAAAAAAAGTAATTTTATTTAGTCTGCCTACTAATTCTGTTCAAGATGGTTTTCAAATACTCTAGAGACAAAACTGAATCACTCTTCCAAAAACATGTATAAACACAGTTTATAGTCAAGTTATAGGTTGTCAAGCACTGTTCTTAAGGCTTCTAAACATGGTCTCCTTTCAATGGCTGGAGGGGAAACACAAACTGTATAGATTAATGTATGAATTCATTAACTCCAACTTCAAATGGGCCCTAGCAGATACTGATTTTTTTTTGTGAAACCAGGGATTGAACTCAGGCCTTTGTGCTTGCCAGAGAAGCGCTTATTCTACTGAGTCATCTCCCCAGCCCCTCAAATACTGATTTTTTTAAATGCATATTCCTCTCAAACTTCCTTGGCAGGTTTCCTTTCCTTTGGGTAATAATCTCTTATTAGTTACCTGAAAAAAAAAAAAAAAGAAAGAAAGAAAGAAATGACAGCTTCAGCTTATTGCCAAAAAACTTTTAAACTTGTCTATAGTCATAATCATTCATGCCTTTGATGAAAGCCACTGAACAAGAACACATATGCTACCAACAACCTTACTTCCACTTGGTTATTCTATTGCCACTTCACAAGCACAAACTGTACTCTCTTCTCTCCAAAAACTACTCCCTTTTTGTACTCCAAAGTAAATGAGTTACCGAAATAGGAATCTTTGTTCATCTACCAATGTTTTACCTAAATGATTTAAAAAACACTTAATGACTCACAGAATTATAATTCTATCAGCTGTCTCACAGCATGCTTTTTTAACTCCTGAGTCCTGTACTGGGTCTGAGTCTTACTTTTTTATAGAATATTCTTTTTTTTTTTTAAACACCTTGTAAGCCAATGTGACCATCAGATTCTAATCAAGACTTCTATCCTGCGCTCACTATTCCAGGCAGGTAGGTGTCTGGGCTAAGTGTGGAGTGCTAAGAAAGCCTATTCTCTGTTAATACCATCACTGTTTAACATGGTCTCACTTGAACTGAATGTTTTGAGGCCAAAAACTATGGATCAGATCTGAGTAGACATTGTGTTCCTACCACTTTCCAACACTGAATACAGTATCTGAATAGTGATAAGTATAAATCTGTGGAGGACCGTTTGAGCAGTTCTCCTTGAAAGACCGACTGTCTCCCTTTTGACTAAGCCTAACCCTATTTCCTTGTATTGATATGTAGAGTTGGCTAGGACTTCTGTTTATCCTTTCAATCGGTCTTAAGCAATGTATATTAGTCTAGCTGAGGTACTGGTGACAGTCTTTGAAGGTGGCATGCGTGTTTCCCTGGTATCCTATACCTGCTGCTCTTTAATGTGAGCTAGGTCGAGACAGGACGATACAGGATGGAGAGCCAATGCTCCACGTTGCCAGCTAGATCAAGCCTCAAGATAGAGGCTAGGACTCCCTGGGGCTTGAAAAACTACATCAAAGCTGAAGCACCAGACCCTCTAAAACATTAAATACTCAATAGCATATGCAGATTACTTTCTCTGCACATTCTCTGCATACGGCAGGGGTAAATGTATTCCACCCACCTAGCTCAGCTCATAGTCACTTACTTCCCACAATTCTTGGTTATTCCTCCTCAAGCTACTCCCTCCACTGAATAAAACCAGGTGAGGCCCTGAGTCACTCTCTTTGTTTCAGAAAGCCATCTTTGTGGCTGGACTTAGAGACCCTTAGCTTCAAATAATTATAAATATGTTTTAGTGTCTTCACTTTCGCCATGGGTTGCATTGAAAGCGGTAAATTGGAATTAACTTGTTGGGATTCCAATAACGTAACTTTGGGATTACAAATATTAACTTCTTGGACTAAGAGGAGAACCTGGAGGGGTCTCCTACATAAATTGAGGAAACTTGTCAACTTACCAGTTATTTGTTGTATAGACCCATTCAGACCTGTCATTCCATTAATTTCTCGAAATGTTAGGAACTGTCCTGTCTCAAGTTTGTGAGGATGATTTTCAAGGCAAGTTACAATGCCAGGATTAGCCTAAGATAGAAGTAAACTATTAAAAATCAAGTTTATGTATTCTTTGAGTACAAATTCCCTATCTCACCACCAAAAAATGACAATGTTATCATAAAAATTACAAACTCAAATTCCAAGCCATTCTTCTCCTTTCTGGGTGAAAGCAACTCTCTAAAAAAATTAGAGAAAGTAATGCAATAAAAAATACACACTACCTTTTAGAACTTATTCTGTTAATCTAAGAGCAAAGAGCATTCAATTATGGAAAATAAAACGTTCATTATGCACTAATTAACTCATGTAGAATAATAAATCACTCATGCAGAATAAATCACTCTATGTAGGTATACAAAATGATTTTTCAATGACATTTTGTTTAAAAGGCCTAAGAAAGAAAACATTAGACACTTGGAAGGCTGAACACAGGCAGATCACTATGAGTCAGTCCAATTTGTGTAGTGAGACCCTGTAGTCCCTCTACTAAAATACACAAAAATAAATTCTAAAAAATTAAAAAAAAAAGAAAACATTAGATTGAATTTAGAAATAAAGCATAAAGCCAGAAGCACAAATACTATTTTGCCAATGAACATGACCATTCGCTTGTATTTGGCACTTTTGGGCTTTAATATATACTAAATACAGTATCTGTAGTACGTTCCTTCTTTGTAAGGAACAAAAATAAGGTAAAATATGAAGAATAAAACAACTATTGAAAGGGGATCAAGATTTTGACAGTTCAGAGAATAAACATAAAATCCTTCTAAGACAATGTGGTAAATTTACTTTTGATTTAAAGGTGAATCAATCCCTAAGCTCTTCTCCTTCTAACCACAGCTTCAAGAAGCTTTTGTCTAAGATGCTTTGTGTCTTTTTCTGTATGTAGTGTATTGTATACACCCATGTTCTAGCACACTAAACAGTTCAGTAAAGGACTCAAATTCATGTATGAAAAAAATGACATAACAAAATTAAAATTAGTATTTATCAAACACTGTGAATCCAGAACATTTTAAACAATATTCCAATTTCAAGTTAGTTTTAACAAAATGCATCAAAATTGATAGTCCTTCATTATTTTAAAACCCATGAAACTAAAAATATTGCTTATAAAAAATTTTGCTAAAACTACCTTTTCAAAAACTCACATCAAAATATTTTATTGAAAAAGTTCATTAATAAAATCATACTTGCGTTATGTTTGAAATGAATATTTCCTTTGGTTCTTCTCCTGTTGTGTCTGAAACTTCAAATGCATCACCAAAATCACAAAATAATCGTGACCAAACTCCATGTACATCTGCACTAATGAACTGAAATGGTACAAATAAGTTCACTTATTCATGTGAAATGAGAAAATAAACTTCACTATCTTAGGAAGTTTTAATTATAATTAAATATGACCTCTGGCATATAAAGTAAACTATGAATAGGCTAAATTGTTCTACTTTACACTTGAAGAAATTTGTTATTTGGTGGATGAATACTGGATGTTACAAAGTTAGAAATCTTTTATCTTATTATTACATGTTCTATGATTATAAATAACAAAAAATTTGGTTTTGCCATAAAATTCAATCACAATCTATGAAAACAAATACTGTGGTTTAATGGTCTAGGAGCAAATTCTTATTTGTTATTCTAGAAAAAAAAAAAGAGTGGCCATTCTTCAAAAATGATAGAACTAATAAAAAACAGACCACCACTAAAAGGCTGAGGAAATGAAAGTGTAAACCAAAGTCAGGTAAAAATTAGATTCTTAAATATGATCAGAAATATTTTATTGAAAGGATTTTTTTTAACAAATTGTCTCTATTCTAAGAAACTAATTTTGTACTTAAAACCATTTTTGATCTAGTTAAAAAAAGAAAAAACCATATCCTAAAGCATATATAATTTAGCATAAAGCAGGATTTTTCTAATAAAACTATATTTGGGTACAACAACTCATCAAAATAATGTATACTTCCTATTATACAAAGCATCAGATGGCTATTGGAGTATTACCTCCCATGCAGTCATATATTGAATTCATTGATCACTATGGGTTATTTTTTTAATGAGATATAAAAGCAGAAATTTTGATACTTTTTCCTCATTTTAAAATTTTAGAAGCTACAAACTCTGGAACAATTTGTTTTTCTGAAATAACTCTCAAGTACAGAAACATATCAATTATATAAACAGAAGCTTTACAATGTACCGTAATTATTTTTTAAACCATCTGTGCCCTGTTTTTAAGTTTACCGTTCTGTCTTCTTTACCTAAAACTGAACTAACACAAATGTTACAGAGTATAAATATGCTTCATAAATACCATACCCCCAAAATTTTCAGTACATGTATCCCATATAAAATGATTTTGGTTTAGTGCCTATCTCAAAGGCACTTTTTCTGTCTTCCAAAGAAACAAATCACCCCAAAGAGTACTAAATACACACACTCAAGGGCAACCACTTGGGTCCCCTTGTGTCTCTTTCTCAGACACAAGCTTTCTTTTTCCCAATAAATATATTTTGCCCTCAAAAAAAAAAAAAAAAAGGAAAAGAAAAGAAAAGAAAAGAAAAAGACTATACATTCAATTATAGGGAAAGAATGATTACAATTTTTCTCATCTAAATTTCTTTCCATTGTCACTACTTGGCAGCTAATTATGCTAGACAAAATTTTAAGGGGTATTCTTGGTCTATCACTCAAAGCCTAAGTTTCTCTACCTATAAACTCTATCAGCCTTTTTTGGTTTGTTTTTTCTGAAACAAGGTCTCACTGTGTAGTGCAGGCTGGCCTTGAACGTATGCTGATCCTCCCAAGTGCAGGCATTACAGGTGTGTGTCTCCACGTCCAGCTACCACAATTTCTCTTTATAGTCTCCCCCTTTTTTAAGTAAGACATCAGCATCGTAAGGGGGACTACTGCAGTAATTCTGAAGTGGCATAGTAGTGCTTACACTACACTTACAATGCCACAGTTCTCCTTTCAGGGTTTCTTTTTTGCTTTTAAGACATTGTCTCCTTGCACAGTCCAGGCTGGCCATGAATTTGCACTGCTCCTTCCTGATTGGCCTTGCCAGTGCTGGAGAACAAGCATGTACCACCATCCTCAGCCTTTTCTGATCTATTCATGACCACTTCATATTCTTAACAATTACTGAGAATTCACTATGAATAATACCTACTGACATTTACTGAGTTTGGAATTAAAATAAGAATCTAACCACTAATCAGTCCAATTATTTAAATACAAGATGATCAAAAATTATACACTTTGTTAATTTTTACAATGTTTATCAAATTTATTCATTACAAGAATCAAATGGTTTAAACAAGTAGCCCAGGCTAGAGAGACAGCTGGGTGGTCTAAGCACCTTCCTGGCAAGTGCAAAGACCTGGGTTCCTTCCCTGGTACTGCATGCCGAGCCAGCCACCAAAACCGGGCGTGGTTGCAGACACCTGTAATCCCAGTGCTGAAGAGGCTGAGACAGTAGGATCACTACAAGTCTGATCTGTATAGTGAGACCCTGTACCAAATAAATAAAAAAAAAAAAAAAATTTAAAAAATGAAAAGAAATGAGAGTAGCTCAAGTAAGGCTTGGGACAGTCAGTGTATAACAAATGCATTGCCTGAGTGATTCTTGGGGTAAACTGTTGTGGTTAAAATATAGGAATACATAAACACATATTCTACAAGCTATCAGAGGAACGACAGTAACACATAGAATCTGAAAAATCTACTGCACTGCATCAAAAAATAAGAATGAAAAAGATAGTAGCATCTTAGTAATATCATGGAAATAATCTGACTGTTCAGATGCCTAAAAAGGCTTCAGGCACTCTCACAGTATTCAGCCACATTCTGAAAATTTCTGATATAGCTTACTCTCCACATAGTGAGCCAAAGTCAATCTTTTTTTGGCCAAAGTGATTCTTTACAATACAAATCAAATCAAAATTCAGAAGATTAAAACTGAAATATTCTCCAAGATCCTGTAAGATACACACAGCCCTGTACTTACTTCTTGAAACTGAATCCTCCAGAATTGCCTTCCTAAGTCCATTTTGGTCCTAGACTGCCTCCTGATATTACATGCAAATCTACATTTCACACTTGGTTTTTTTTTTTTTTTTTTTTTTTGCAGAACCAGGGATTGAACTCAGGCCCTTGCACTTGCCAGCAAAGTACTTATTCTACTGAGCCATCTCTCTGGCCCCTAAAGTATTCTTTAAAAAAAAAAAAAAAAAAATTTATTTATTTTTTGCCCTTGCAGTTTCTTACCCATGCTGATCCCTCTGCTTTGAATGCTCTTTCCTAGAACCTTACATAGCTGGTCCCTTTCGCCTTATTTAGACTTCTATTTAATGGCAGCTCCTCAGAGAGAACATCCCAGTCTTTCACATACAGTAGGAATGGCATGGGTCTCTCCCAACATCATGTAGATACACTTCTGTCTTTATTCTTGGCTCAGAATGTTTTTCTTCACAGGACTTAGAACTAGTTAAAAACACCACACATTTATTTGCTGGTTTACTGTACATTTTCCATACCAGATGGTAATTTTCATGAGTAGAAAAATTTGTGCTATTCAGTAATATGTTCGTAGTACTTAGAACTGGATCTAGCATATACATAGTTAAGAAAAATCTAAATAAATGAAGTAAGAAACCTCTTGAAAACCACCATCATATCATGTTTAAAGTGAGATGATGCAAACAGATTGGTGGTGCACATCTGTAATCCCAGCACTGAGAGAGGCTGAGACAGGATTAAAAATTTGAGCCTAACTTGAGCAACTTAAGGAGATTTTCTCTTGAAAAATAAGCTGATGATGTACCTCAGTGCAAAGAGCCACAAAACGAACAAAAAAACCCAAATGTAAATATTCAATGTTTATCATTAACTCTTTCTTACAGCAATTTGCCTGTAATCCAAATTTACATCATAGTTTTATTTTTTTTAAGGTTTCAATTGTACTTTATTTCTTCAATACACCATATTTCAATGGAGACACAGTGCTTTTACTTGGCATCAATTATGATTTCATTTAGGAATAATTTAGCTTATCATATCAGCTGGTATGACTACTGATCTTTCCATTCCTTGGGGGTGACTGCCAACAGGGGAAAGGTGCCATTCAATTCCAATCTGTGTTGCTGTACAGGTCCACGCAGCAATACAGAATGTGGCTCCACCAACTAATACAGCTTTACCATATTTGTCATGGAAATCAGGTGCACATTTCTGGTGGCTCTGCCTTGCTACCATATGTTGAATGCTTCGAACTGGAAAACGACCTAATGCATTTTTGGCCAAGGGAAACATCGTGGAGCTAAAGTTGAAATGTGGTTACTGCAGCTGCTAGTTTGGTGCAAATTATATCCAGAGACCCTTACAAAGATACATCGTAGTTTCAAAAACAGGCAATTAGTATGACACCAAAATTAAAGGGCACAAACTTGATTGTGATTGTCTTCTTATTGAAAGAGCTTTTCACATAATTCAATAAAAACCTCGAATTTTGATAGTAAGTATTCCTCCTTTAACAGCATGTCATTAAATAATTACCTTAATTGGAGGGCAATGAGAACGGCAAAAGTTGTTGATCTTCTTTTGCAGTGGAAGTTTCATCTCAGTCAAAACCACACACTGTTGATAATAAACATTACAGAATATAAAATTATTTTGGTAAATAACTTCTAAGTCAGAAGTATTTGTTATAATCATGCTAAAATTATACTTATCATCATAAAAAGTTACTATGTCCACTCCTCACACTGCCCCAAAAGTTACTACCCTATTGTACTTTCTAAGGTACTTGTAGAAGTATAACAGCAAAAGTAAAAATAACATGCACAAGAGAATACCTGTTCATGTTAAAGCAAAGCTTAATATCCTACATGATGTTTATTTACTCTCCAAATAGTTGGAGATTTTTTTTTATCTGTTATTATTGTGGAAATACTTATCTAGCCACCACAATACAATATTATTTCAAAGTTAGAAGAGTGACAATATCAAGAGATACATTAGTTGGCATAGCATTTTTTTAGTTCTGAGATTCAACAGATTCACAAAATAGTTTGATTTTACAATATTAAGTTGAACTTCCAATTCCAACTTTTTAAGAGGTTAAAGGCACAATTTAACCACAGGGAAAATCAAGGACAACGTAGTTAATCTAGAATATCCAGGATGCTAGCAAGTTTTATTCCTGTTATTTACAGAAATAGTAATGATGGTAGACTAAAATACTGATTCATTTATTTCACTGCTCTATAACTACACTATTCATCTATGGCTTCTTAGGAAGAAAGAACTTTTGTGACTCTTAAGTTTGTACTTGACAATATGACTTAGTTTGGCCAATAGGTTGTCAATGTAAGTAATGTGCACAGGAGTTTGAAATGAACCTGACTTATTTTAAAACACAAAACACAAAAACAAAACAAAAACCAAAAAACCCCAAAAAACACCTTTTGTGTTTTAGCCACTGCCACTAAACGTGACCTAGGTAAGTCTCCTGGTCCTAGAAGAGACAGGTGGAGCAGAACCCAGACTCTCAAAGCTGAACGCCCTGCAAGTGACTCACTGAAATACATGAAGCTATAAACTACTGAATTTTATACAGCTTTCAAATGCTATTACTGTGAAAATAAAGCCAACTGATATAATTGCTTGGTCAGCACTTTTAGGTGCTTTCCCTAAAATGGAATATTTGATAGGTATTATTTAAACAGAAGCCTTCCAACTTGAAATGTTCTGTTCTGTTCTTCAACACAATAGATTAAAGTAGTTATACCATATATCAGTAGTGGTGAACCTATGCCATGTGTGCTGCCATCGGCGATTTGTTATTGAAAGCTCTACAAGGTTTGCCATCACTGATAAATATATATATATAATCTTTGTTGGAATCTGTCAGTAACACTGAACACAGAATGGTATACTAACCTGATATTTACTTAAGAAGGAGAAATCTGTAGTTTCATTAAAAGGAACAGAAGATGACGTAACATGAACATATGGATTTAGTTCTGCAATACGGTGAAGTACAGCTTCAGCCCTAAAAAAAAAATTGTATTATTTTTTCTTTCAGTATACACAATTTCTTAAAGTTGGGACAGTTTAACGACATAGCATGTTATGAAATTCCAATGAAATAATAAATTACAGTATAAGACTTATCTGTCATCTAAATATATAATCTTAAAATGTACAGTACTGGCATATTATATACAGTAAGCCAATGTCAAAGGGTACTAACAGTTCTAAGTGCTCTCTTAATTATTAAGTAATACTAAAGCCTTCCTTTTATAGGGTGCCCTTTATGGTCCTAGTCTCAGTCTGGGAAGTTTATATTTGTAATCCCATGAATAAATTATTGGAATCCTGTCAAATTAATTCCAATTTACCACTTCCAGAGAAACTCATGCTGAGAATAAAGACACTAAAGCATATTTATAGTTGTTTGGAGCCAAGGGGTCCTAAGTCCAGCCATGGTGATGGTTAACAGGAACAAAAACCTTGACCCAGGGCCAAACCCAGGTTTTCTTTGGTCATGGAGGAGTGGCTTGAGGCTGAATGGCTGAGAATGGAAGGAAGTAGGTGAGTACTATACACTGGACTAGGTAGGAGGCCTGTATTTACTTCTGCAATATGCAGAGAGTAATCTGCATTACACAACTCAGATAGCATCTAATGTTTTGGGGTCCGGGGCTTCAGCTCTGATGTATAATCTTTTAAGCACCAGGAAGTCATAGCTCTATCTTGAGGCTCAATCCCAGCTGACAGCGTGAAGCATTGGCTCTTCATCCTACCTCAACCTGGCTCATATTAAAGAGCAGCAGTTGGGGGTTATCAAGGAAACACACATGCCATCTTCAATGACTACCACGAGCACCGTGACTAGACCAATATACATTGCTTAAAGGCAATTGAAGGGAAAAGGAAAAATCCTAGCCAGCTCTGTACATATTAATACATGGAAATAGGGTCAGGCACAGTCAAAAATGGAGACAACTGCTCTTCTTTCAAGGACAGTCACTCAGGTAGTACTCTACACCTTTATCTAAAAAAATTCACTTCTAGATAGCAATACGAAAGTACCAAAGTTCTGAAAAATGTAATTATGTAAGGCTATACCCATGTATCTATGCTAGTGTGAAGTTATTATGATAATGAGTTAGAATAATTGTGACTGAACTAGTGTTAACACATGAAAATCTCCACACAACTGAGTTAAAAAAAAAAAATCTCAGAGGGTCAGCCAGATAGCTCAGCGGATTAATGTGCCTGCTTAGGCAGATGCAGGGGATGGGGGTTTAATCCCCAGCCTGCCGTGCCAGTCCCGCACTTGGGGCGCACTGAGAGGATTGAGACTGGGCATGATGGCATGCACCTGTAATTCCTGCACTTGGGAGGCTGAAAGCAGGAATGATTACTACAAATCTGATCTGTGCAGTGAGATCCTGTACTGAAAACATTAAAACAAACAAACAAAAAACCTCACAACAATACATTAAAATATCTTCACCTGTTTCTCATGTTCACAACATCATTTTCACAAAGGAAAAAGTTGGTCCCTAGGTCCCATGTGTGGCATTTTTCTGTATCATGGATTGTAAGTGCCTTCAAAAGAAAAAAAAGAGGAAAATATTTGATGAAGTCCAGAATGAGACAAGGGCTATCACTCACTCTGTTATTATGTGTAAACAGACAACAATAATTATTAAAGGCATAAAAATTGAAAAGATATAAAAATAGATCTATAGGGAAATGATATAACTATATATAGCTAGAAAACCCCATACACTGATAAAAAACCTTCAAATATTGATTGTTCATTAAGTAGCATATTAAAATGTTAACATAAATATTCAGAAAGTTTTATATAAACATTTAAAAATACCCTATGTAATAAAGAGAAAAAAGTAGAAAAAATGCTTAGAACTTATTTCAGGCCATTTCAAACCTTTTTAAAATGTTTTTGAAGAAGAGTTTTTTTTGGCGGTATCAGGGACTGAACTCAGGACACTGCACTTGCCAGGCAGGCGCTTATGCCACTGAGCTATATCCCCATTCCCTTGAAACAGGGTTTCGATATATAGTTCAGGCTGCCTTGAACTTTATATCTATATCTATATCTATATCTATATATCTATATATATCTCCCACTATATAGCCTTGAACTCGCAGCAATCCTCCTGCTCAGCCTTCTTCCAGAGTGCTGGGATTATAGGCCATACCCAGCTCCAGGACATTTCAAATTTTACTGAAAAAAGGGCAAGTAATTTACAAGGAATATACTGAAACAGAAAGCCTTGTACAGTGGTGCATGCTTGAAATCACTGCACTCAGGAGGTAGAGGCAGGAGACTTGCTGTGAGTTCGAGACCAGCCTAGACTACACAGTGAGTTCAAGGCTGACCTAGAATATACAGCAAGCATCTGTCTCAAAAAACCAAGAATAAAAAGCCAGGTGTGGTAGTGCACATCTGTAATCCCAGCACTCAGGAGGATGAGACAAGAGGACTGCAGTGAGTTCGAGACCCAGCCTGGATTACACAGTGAGTTCAAGGCCAACCTATATTACAAGTAAGACCCAGTGTCCAAAAAAAAAAAAAAAAGAGAGAGAAAAGAAAAAGAGAAAAGCGTATGACACTTGAAAATATGTAAGTATTTCTAACACTGCTCAGAAATAAAGTACCTTTCTCACACATTAACATTAGATTGGCGTAAGTCCAAAAGTTTGACAACATGCTCTATGCAGAGGAAGAGATGAATCAGCCAATCTCGTACTATACTGATGGGCATGTAAAGGGTCTCAATCACAATAGAAAGAAAGTTAGCAATCTCTGCCAATTAGACAGATGCATTTGTTCTGACACAGAAATTCCACTTATAGGAATCTATACCAAAGACACACTGAGAAAGATGTTAAGTGCAAGGATAGTAAATGTTCTTCCAATAAAAAACTAGAAGCATGCCAGCCCCACCGCTGGGATGTGCTAATACAGCAATTGAGACTGGGCATGGTGGCGCATGCCTGTAATCCCAGCACGTGGGAGGCTGTAAATGAGAGAATCACTGAGTGCAATCTAATAGTGAGACCCTGAACACCTTTCCCTAAAATACAAAAAACCAACCCTCCCTAAAAAAGAAATACAAGCAATCAAAATGTCCACCAAGAGGGAAAAATTTATTATGTGCTATATTCACACAATGAATATACATGCAATTACAAGAAAACAATGAAATATACATTCACCACTACACAGTAATCTTTTTTTTTTTTTTTTTTTTTTTGGTGGAACCGGGGATTGAACTCAGGCCCTTGCACTTGTCAGGCAAGCGCTTATTCTACTGACCCATCTACCTGGCCCCACTATTTGGTAATCTTAAGGATATGCTATTAAATGAAAAAGCAAGGTGGAGAAAAAAGTAGTAGAAATGGCAGGAACAAATAAAAATATGTACACATACACAAATATGCATGTATGTTTGCATACATTTGCTTATATTTAAGAACAAATGAAGAGTCCCCAAAAGGGAGTGACATAGTAAGTGAAGGCAGGAATCAGGTAGAAACAAAAATGCCTTAATTATATAAATATGCTTGGATAAAATCAATCTCACATAATAAAATTGAATGAAACTTTAAAAAAGCAATCCCTATTCTAAGCAAAATGAATAAATGAACTGAACTACTTACCGAGTTGTTTACCTAACTACCCAAAGGAATAATTTATAGTGACTTAAAAAAGCAGTTAATTTGTCTTATCTGACCCACTGCAATGGAGATCACAACTAGGAAGTTACTAGATTTTTCAGGTAAATGGTTTTATAGTTAAAATACAATACAGTAACATCAAGGGCTTATTATGTTTTTAGGTGTGAAAATGGTATTGTTTATGTTTATAAAAGCTATCTTTATCTTTTAAAGAAATATACTAAAATAAATACAGATCATGTAGTGTATGAAATTTACATCAAAGTAATTTAGTAGCTGCATGAGGAATGAGAAAGAAACATGTGAAACAAATGTGTCCCAATTTGTAACCAAAACTTTGTGGCAGATGTACTGAGTTTTGTTAAATTATTCCATTTTCATCAACTTTTGAAATTTCTATGATAAATTTTTAAAGCAAGAATAGAATAGAGTAATAAAACATTTTTGCTATTAAATAAAAAGCAATCCAAAGAATAAACAATATTACTATAACAAATGAACAAAACAAAAACCAAGCAATTTTTGTTATTAAGGACATACATTCACTTACCTTAATCCCTGCAAGGACAAGATTCTTTGCTATAAGGAAAGAAGACAAGGAAATATTAGGAATTTCTGTTTTATCATAGAGCTTATTCACATCTCTGACCAGATAATTTTAACCACTCAAGAAGTGTAAGTTATTTGTAAATAAAAAATAAGAAAATGTAGACTAACACAAAAGGAATAAAATTTTATATAACTATATCAGAGACAAGACTCTTAAAATTTTAAGTTATTCTTCCAAACAAGCCTTTATAAACATATTCATTATTGTGCTACCATAATGAATGACTACAGAGAATGATCTTAATAGTACTACTATCACAAAAATAGAAGCAATGAGTTATGATTAGTACCATGTGGAAGAACTAGTGTCATGAAATAGCCTTGCCAAAACATTCTTAGCTGAATCTGAACAAGGCTGTGTAAGCTAACTCTTTAAATCATCTTATGTCACTCAAATGTCATATAAATTATGAATAAAAATAGTGCTTACCAATTTCCACACCAAGACCACCCACACCACTTAAAAAAACACGGGCCTTGGCCATCTTCTGCATTGCTGTGTCTCCAAGGACGTACCTCTGTCGACTATGCATGAAACACAATGAATAATAGAAAATGTCATTTTATCAAATTATATATCCCTTTAATTTGTTTGCAAACTAACAGCCTAGATAAACATTAGATCTTGCCTAGGCTTGTTTGGGATGATCTGAAGTGTTTAAAACTTTCTAAATACGTGACAAATTTTGAAAAAATTAGCTAATGTGGCAATAAGATCAACATTTTTAGGTAATAAACAGGGCATTGCTCTCTTAGGACAGGGTGATTATGTATGTGAAGTGTGCTGCAGTTCCACCCCTGGTGCTGCTCATTCACTGCCCCAGCAGCCACTGCAGACATGAGAATCTGTTATGTCCACTTACAATAGGAAGCTAGATGCTATACACATCCTTGATGACCCCAATGGATTCTTATGAGGTTCATTTTGAAAGGTTCAGTATACATGGTAATTTAAAAAACCTTGAATAATACTTTTGGAAAACTTACATTGTATTTTTGTTTAAAAAATAAGTACTTGTGCTAGGCCCGGCGTGGAAAACCTACAATCCTAGCTAGCATTCAGGAGGCTGCGGCAAGAGGATTGCCATGAATTTGAGGCAACATAAATTAGGCTTATGGGCAAGGCCAGCCTACACTACCGAGGTCCTATCTCAAACACACACACACACACACACACACACACACACTCACACACACTTTCTGTATTTCAGATTTTGTATTAAATATATATGATTGAAAGGGGCTTCTTATCTCATTCACTAAAGTTCATAAACACAAGTCAATCTGTCTGTCTGTCTGTCTTTCTTTCTATTTGCTACAGGGTCTCACTATGCAGCTCAAACTCATACCTTCCTATTTTCAGCCTCCCCAGTGCTGGGATTACTGGCATGTGCCACCACACCCGTTTTCAGTAGTTAGTACTGTACACCCAGGGTTCCCAGGGCCAGCATGACATGCGGTACCAGCATGTCATGGATCAAACACAGCTCCTTGATCTTGCCAGGCAGGTGCTTAGACCGCTGAGCTATCTCCCCAGCCAAGCAAAAGGAGTTTCAGTTTTATTAGAATCTTATATATATAGTCAGTAACTGACACATAAAGCACATGTCTATTGGACAAATCTACAAACCTATTCCTCATCAAAAACGAAAAAAGAGAAACAGAACTCTAAAGAAATCAGAAGTAGAAAGGATAACTTCCCCAATGTAATAAAGATCACCTATGAAAAATCTACAGTTGACATTATATTCTACCATTAAAGAATGAATTTTTTTTTTATCTAAAATTAAGAAGGATGTCTATCTCACGCTGTCCCTTAGGAATGAGTGTAGTATATGGTGTGTACATGCAATAGAGTTATTATTCAATTTTTCAAAACAGGAAATCTGGCCAGGCACGGTGGTGCATATCTCTAATTTCACTACTTTCTCAGATAGTACTCTTTCCAACTCAGAGTTGGAGCCAGCCTAGGCTACATAGTAAGTTTGAGGTCACTCTGGACTATATGTTGAGACCGTCTCAAGAATGAAGAGAATAATAATAAGAAAGGAAGACTTCTTAGTGTGTCCAAAGTCCTCGGTTTGACTCTAGCACCAATAAAGAGAAAGGAAATCTTGTTATATGGTACAACATGGACAAACCTTAAAGATATCATGTTAAGTGAAATAAGCCAATTAGGAAAAGACAAACACTGCTGATCATATGAAGACTCTCAAGGGTCAGACTTAAAGCAGAGAGAGCGAAGGCTGGCTCAGGAGCTGCTATACAATGAGTATACAGTTTAGCCTTATAAAATGAAGAAAATTCCACAGATCTGCTATACACAGTTTTAAGAGCATTGTACTATACAAGTAAAAATCTAGGCAAGGTTCATACTTTTTTTAATAAGAATTATTTTTTTCTTGAGGCCGGAGACATAGCTCAGCAGCATAAGCACCTGCCTGGCAAGTACAAAGTTCTGAGTTTGATCCCTGGTACCAGAAAATAAAGAAAAAGAAAAAGAAAATTATTTTTTTCTTTTCAGATAGGTTTCTATGCCCAGCTACGATAATACTCTAAAAAAAAAAAAAGTTCTAAACATGTTCTAAATGACTCTGCAGGTTATACTACTTGAACTTGCATGAGACAAAATGGTTCAAATTATAGGTGTAAGAATGGAGAGAGAACTTCTGGAATCCATTTTTATCCTGCCCTACATTCATCCAATTTATTCTTGAATCTATCTCCCTAAACTAGTAAGAGATTAAGTTATTTTTTTTTTTTTTTCCAGAACCGGGGATTGAACTCAAGATCCTGCACTTGCCAGGCAAGCACTTATTCTACTGAGCCATCTCCCCGGCCCTAAACTAGTAAGAGATTAAGGATGGAGAATTTCATATACAGATGATCTCCTGCTGTCATAAAACACAGTACTTCCAAAATGCTAAGTTTGTATTGCTAATCTGTATTATATTCTTACATCTTTCAGTCACGTCATTTTTTGATAACAAAAGGTAATTTGTATCCAAAATAAATCTCTGGCCCAAACTTTGAATCTAACACTAGTCCCCACGAAGCAATAAATAAAATTAGCTGGTATGATTTCAAGGAGTTGACATTTGTTGTCTCAAGAACACTACAACTAAAAGAATGCTAGGTCTCTTCTGAAGTATATTTTACAATCAGGTGACCATAAAACATTTTCATATAAGCAAGATTAAATGTCAACTTTAACTTTTTCAGGTAAATTACACAAAACAGGACTTGGAATCAACATACCAGGTGATATATGTCAGCTCCTAATAAACAGTTCATAACTAACACTATACCATTAAAAATATATAAAGGAATTAAAAATATACAAACCTATCCTTCAAAGTTCTACCTAAAATTTTTCCACGTTTATATATAAAGAAAGTCTAATTTTTAACCTGCCCCTGAACTCACTATGTAGTCTAGGCTGGTCTTGAGCTGATAGCAATTCTCCTGTATCAGCTTCCTGAGTGCTGGGATTACAGGCATATATCATGACAATAATTTTACTAAAAAATTTATCTGATACAGATCTTGCTACACAGTTCAGACTCCTAGTGATCCTCCTGTCTCAGCCTCCCCTGGGATTACAGGTGTGTGCTACCACACATGGTTTTGGGGCCAGCATGGCCATGTCCAGGGCTCTGGGGTCAGCACGACATACCGTACCAGAAAGTGGGGCATGCAGTACCAGGGATCAAACTGGGTCCTTGCAGTTGCTAGGCAGGCATTTATGCCTCTGAGCTATCTCCCCTGCTCAAGACATTTTTTAAATTCTAAAAAATTCTTGGAATGAGGCTGGAGGTATAGCTCAGCAACACACTGCCTGCCTGGCAAGTGCAAGGTCTTCAGTTTGATTCCCAGCAGCAAAAATCCCTATAAAACTTAGGAATAATATCAATTAAATTAATTAAAATAAATTAATTTAATTTTTAATTACTGTAAAAGTACTTTGATTCCAAAAAAAGTACGGTTAAATAAGTCTCATTTACTTCTTTTCAAGTCACAACTCTTTGGTCTCATTTCTCTGCTGCCTATAAATTATAAAGATGTAATGTTTTTGTAAGATTATATGGCAATAATCACATGCTTTTTTTTTTTTTTTCCGGAACTGGGGATTGAACTCAGGCCCTTGTGCTTGCCAGGGAAGTGCTTATTCCACTGAATCATCTCCCCAGCCCCAATAAATCACATTCTTTAGATACTACTGTATAACTAGGGTGAAATGGATTATTCTTTATGAAACTCTTACACTATGAAGAACATAACTACTGTTGTCCAAATTAGAGGCATATTTTGTAATGGATAGCAAAATCCTTTTAGAACCTATCATTTAATCTAAAGGACCTGAGATTTACATCAAATTAAACTTTCAGACTATAAAGAATACGCAAAAAAAGACAGAAATCCTCAATTAACTTGAGAGAAACAAAATATATGTCCATATATATACACATAAATATGTACAAACAATTTATGTATAAGCTCAGTGGTATCTTCAAACAGATCACTTAAGTTTCAGTTTTCCTGACTTTCTTACCTATACAATGAATCATCAATCTCCACAGATTCTGTTGACACAACAGGCAAAGTTTTACTTGCACTGGGGAAAAAAAAAAGGTGAGCAAGTATGGTTACTAAATATTCCCACTTTACATCATAACATTCAATTATAAATGGGCTCAGGTTCACGAGTTATTAAAGATTTTTGCATACTATATATTTTATCATCACTTTAGAGTTTTAAAAATGTGTTGAAATTCAATTCACTGATGTTTGTTCTGTCCTATGTGTATTGTAGGTAAGAGAACCTATTTCAGGTGTTTTGTCATTACTGTTCATTGTGATGAACCTTTTCTATATACTGATTCAGTCTCAAGGATTTACTATATTAATGAATGCTAATCTCATTTTTCTATATGTGATCTGTCCTGATCATCAAACTTGATACACCTGCACATACACTGACTCATTTTTAGGCCTATCTGGTATCAGAAACATACACCAAAACGGAATTTAATTCTCCTTGTCTTTATAAGAGACATAATGGAAGCACTCAAGAAATAGCGAGTGAATATTGAATTTTAAAAATAAAATGTAACCGAAACTTAACTAGTAAGAGAACATATCTTTACTATAGTGATGTATCATTCACAGCAGTGGGCCCCAATACTTTAATAGCATTGTACACAAAGTAAAATGAAATAATTACAGGAAACATGGAAGCAGAGACTCAAAAGGCAATGAGAACGAGCCTGGGGCTCTTGGGCGTGATGCGACAGCTCAAGTCCCTTTATCTTGGCAAAAATATAATCCATACCAAGATCTGGGAAGCTCCATTGTCATTTAAGGAATCTAAAAACAATAGGACAGCACGAAATTCAGGTCTGGAGTCTTCATTTTCTAGCCTGCCATTAATAAACCAAAGAGTCTATAAATTAGGTGATAAAAATGTTATCTTAGCACATTGAGTATACCATCAAGTGGTATCAGCATCACACTATTTGAATACTTAGTCATTATAAAAACTCTTAATTGTAATTATGAAAACAAACCAGAAGTCAACAGTACACACACGACCCTGTTTTGACAAAACACAAACAAAATTTAGTATTTATCTTACCCTTACTTCACTTGAACTAGCTGTCTTAACATGGGACACAATCAAACAGGCAAAGCTCTTCAGTGAAAAAAGAGCTCCACTCTAACTAGCTGTCACTTCCAGTATGGCTGGCACTATTCAGAAAGTTGCTGCAGTGAAAGTTTCAAGAATATTTTAAAAAATACGACTGACGATATGATAAGTGCTTCAAGTAAGAGACGGTTTCCTTCGTATGTCACACTACCTCCCAAGAAAACCTGGTAGTTGGGAGTAAAACGTTCTTTCCATTTCAAACTGATGAAAAAGCCACAGGTTCATGGGCAATCTCCTTAGCTAAAAATCACACTCCTGAATCTGGTATACGACATTCTGACCACGGCAGAACACAAACACAGCTTTACCAACTGTCACAGGATTGAAAGAGGTTCTACTAAGAACTGGTGACTTTCCCACCCGTCGTGCAGGGACAGAAAACGCAGAGAGCGACCGCCGGGGGCGGAGGGGCGGACCCCGCGCGCGGCCGGGCCCACGCCTCGGCCAGGGAGGGCGCCGGGCCC